TGGTGGGGATGTGATGAATTCAGATGAAGTGCTTACACATGAATGTGATGTTCTCATACCTTGCGCTTTGGGAGGAGTTTTGAACAGGTTTAGACCCTTAAATTACATTTGAAATTTTTGGTCCTTATATGCTGCGAATATAAAGTAAAGTTCACAAAAGTAATTGATTGTATAAGCCCTTAATAGGTTTTATTTTTTAACTTTTTGTTACTATGGAAAAGATGATTAATTTTTTCCTATGTTCAATTTACATGATACACTTGAGCACCAATAATAAACCTTCTCTTATTTTCTGTTATGAGATTATGTGGAGAAGAAAGTCTTTACTGTGTGAATTTTTTCCTATATTCTGTCTTTATTACTAAACCATATATAGCTATTTATTATACATACGTCTAATTTTGTCCTGTGTGAATCTGTTTCTTTCTCTGAAGAGAAAATGCTGATAATGTCAAGGCTAAGTTCATCATAGAAGCAGCAAATCATCCTACTGATCCAGAAGCTGATGAGGTAACCACTTTTCCAGGTTTTCTAGCCATTTGACTACTAGGATTACCGTTTTTTGACAGATAACTGTCTTCTGCAGATTTTGTCTAAAAAGGGAATTGTAATACTTCCCGACATATATGCCAATGCTGGAGGTGTGACAGTCAGTTATTTTGAGTGGGTTCAGGTAATATCATATATCTTTGACATTGACACCCCATATATCTATTTTCATTACATTGGAAAGATCATAAAGGTTTTATTCTGACCATCGTTTTAAGTTAAGTGCAATTTTCTGAAGAATAAATAAGTTTTTGAGTTCTTCAGCCTTTATCATGCCATATAGTTTTCCTCTGAAATCAGTTTCTGAAGACATAAGACAAACCTCGAATTCGTGTAGATTGGATTATTGTAAGTATCTAGGTTGAAATTTTCTGGTCAATGTCTTCACAAGTTCTTCTACACTGCCTCCAGAAGGCGCATGCAATTTTCTTAAACTCAGTCCTATCTTAATAGCTATTAAAAATGTACTTTGGCAACTCTTTTCTTGTGTCTGAAAGTTGAGAAGAAAATTGAAATCTCAATATCAATTTAGTTCAACTGTGCATTTTAATTGTTCTGAATATATTCTTTTTTCATGTGCAGAATATTCAAGGTTTTATGTGGGATGAGGAGAAGGTTAACAGGGAGCTTAGAAAATACATGACAAAAGCCTTCCATAACCTGAAAAACATGTGTCAGTTGCACAATTGCAATCTTCGGATGGGTGCCTTCACACTTGGCGTGAATCGTGTTGCACGTGCGACAACATTAAGAGGTTGGGAGGCGTAACTATATTCGCCTCTTTTGTGGCACTACATACTCCCTTTCTACAGATAAAAATTTATGGTCTTTTTCTGCTGCATAAACTGAGCCATTTTAAACATGTGGGACATTCATCAACAAATAAAACAGCCTTGCTTCATCAATTGTCCTGGCATTCAGTAATCTCTCTTCTCATATTTTTTTCTATAACATCGAGAAGCATGTGCTAGATATTGAAGGGAAGATAGATAATATACTTATGGATGTATGTATATTAACTCTAGTAGTAGCAGAGTGGTAGCGAATGGAAGTGGGAGTTGTTCTACTGTATGACAACCACCCTGCTTCCATCTTACGCATGCAATGCGATGCAGATGGTTTAGGATGTAGATCCTTGCCATTGTTAATGATTTAGGGAAATGAAGGGTCAAGATCCATCGGAAAAAAATTCGATGTTGTGCTCGTGGTGAAGTGGACATCTGATCCTTGTTGCCACTGTGATGAACCCAAGTGTATAGTACTCTGTCATTTTCCAGCATGGTAGATGTCTATTAGGTTATGCTACAAACTTCTGAGTGCATATTTAACAACACAATATTGCATAAAAGGTTCCTCTTTATCCAGGTCTAATAAGATAAAGAAGATGAATCAGTCTTTAAATCTTATCCTATCTAGCTCAATTAAATTTGCCATGATTGTATAAACATATAGCTGTGCTAGAAAAAGCAGCTTTTTTCCCAAACTACTGGAATTTGATGCCCTCGGGGCTCGAACATGACAAGAAATTGAAAGTTTAGCAGCCTGTTGCAGCAGTTTATCGCTTACTTTTTCTCACCAAAAGCTGTGAAAAGTGGTCCCAAAGTATATGGTCTGCCCTATATAACCTGTAGTTACATTGTAGTAGTTGGTAAAGAACATGAGCTTATTTTATTTCAAGACGTAGGCTTCTTGCTGTTATTATTCAATCAACATCTCCTTAAGGCGAGAATTAGAAATTACTTGCAATCGGGCTTCTGTTGGCATTACTTCCTTGATTCGCAAAGCTTGGAGCTCCAAACATGTCATCAAGATGCCAAGTACGGAGGCTCTTTGGGACCAAATCAGAGAATTTTAACGATTTAAAAGATTGGTAATTAAATGTAACTGAAATAAGTTCTCTACTCTGAATCGCTGATGGATAGGCGACAGAGAATGAAGATCATATGTTTGTGAAAAATGGGATTTATAGTTGCCACTTGCCACTAAAGAAAGTACAATAGATACTTTGTTTTTAGAGAAAGATTGTATTTTCTTGTTTTGGATATTTTAATCGTCATCAGAAGCAGCAATGCGCTTTAGAAGTTCTATGATACCATGGTGTGCAGTCTCACTGTGACGACCCAATAGGTCGTTTTGAGTACTAGCCTTGAATTTGGTATTCCGAGCCTTCTATTAGCACTATTTCATGTTTCTTGATTTACGTGCTTTGTCCGTGTTGTTTTCCGGAAAGTTTTTACGTAAAAATTTGAAGAAAAGTGATTTTAGGCTTAAAATGGGACTTGAGTTGACCACGGCCAACATTCTTGGTAAACGACCTCAGATCGGTGTTTTGACAATTCCGGTAGGTTCGTATGATATTATTGGACTTGTACGCACTTTTGGTTGGGGTTCGTGGTGACCTGAGCGTATTTCGGTGCGTTATATGAAAAATTATGAAAATGAGTTTTCAAGTTAAAAATCATGAGTTTTGATGATCGATTCATGTTATCTGATGTAGATTTGAGGTAGTGAGCAAGTTTGTAGGATGTTATTACACTTGTATGCATGTTTGATTTGGAGACCCAGGGGCTCAGGTGATTTTCGGATGCGTTGCAGAATGATTTGGAACTGCTAGTGTCCAACAATTGCTAGTGTCTGATTGCAGGTCTGACAATTGCAAGGACCTGTTCGCAATTACGTCCCGCTTTTACGAAGTTGGACTCGCAAATGCGATTATTTGCTGGGGGTGGTGCTCTTCGCAAATGCGAAGAACATGTCGTAAATGCGATCCTGAGTTTTCATTTTGCGACAATTTTGTCGCTTTTGCGATTCAGGTCCTGGACTAGAGGTCTTCGCAAATGCGAAGGAGGGGCCACATTTGCGATGGATTAGTAGTTTGCATATGCGAACATTTAGTAGCATTTGCGACATTTCATGCACAGTGACAGTGATCACAAATACGATCAGAGTCTCGCATTTGCGGACATCGCATTTGCGAATAAGACTTCGCAAATGCGATGTCTGCAGCTGGGTAAAATAGGGAAAAAATGAGACTTAGCCATTTTACACCATTTCTCAACCCCAAACACTCTAGAGGTGATTTTCTTGAGACTTTTTCTTCCTAAAATCATTGGTAAGAAACTCTAATCCACTTTCTTTCAATTCCCCATTACTTTTCATGAGTTTTTAACATCAAATCTAGGATTTTCATGGTACAAATTAGGGATTTGGGTAGAATTTAGGGATTTTGTAAAATTAAAATTTAGACCTCAAATTGAGGTCAGATTTCGAAATGAATCACATAACCGGGCTCGGTGGTGAATGGGTAATTGAATTTTGGTCAGAATCTCGTATTTTGACCAAGCGAGCCCGGGGTTGAATTTTGTTGACTTTTTTAATTTCATCAAAGATTGAACCTTTTTATTCGTGGTTAGTTTCTAAAGCTTTTGTTTGAACGATATTTTTCTAGATTTAATTAGTTTGGTAGCTTGTTCGAAAGGAAAATCCGTGATTGGTTGTTGAGTTGGTTGCGCAAAGAGGTAAGTGTCGTGTCTAACTTGAGGGAATTAGGACTTATTGGTCTATTTGTTATGTGAATTATGTGGGAAAATGGCGTATATACGAGGTGACGAGTGTATGTGCGCCGTCATGTGTTAAAGAATGGGGTATTGGGTTATTTACCTTTATATCATCACTTATTCCATGTTATATCTTTTTATATGCTTTTATTACTACATGATCTTACTATCCATGCTTTACTTGCTACCTGTTATTTACTTGTTACTTATTTAGATTTATTCATTCCTCGCTTAATATCTGATTACCTGCTATATGTTCCTACTTGTATTAATTGTATAACTCCATTGCTTCATGTTTAACTTGCTTTCGTTGATTTTACATCACTTGTTGCACTTTACTATGTTATTCCGATTTCTGTGAGTTCTTTAGCTATTCTTGTATTGGTTATTAGTAAAAAATTATAAATACGAGGTATTGGCTATCCTTTGTTGTACTGGTTGTTCTTTGATGTTCTGTACGCTTTATTCTCTTTTTGTGTTGAGATATCCGTTACTAGTTGTGTTGAGTTGTTTATGTTAATGAGTTGATATTGGGATCGGGTTGCATGCTATAACAGATAATGATATGATATGATATTGGGATCGGGTTGTACGTCGCAACAGTTATTGTATTAAGTGTTGGGATCGGATTGCACGCTGCAACAGTTATTTTTTTAAGTGTTATGATCAGGTTGAACGCCCCAACAGAGTTGATGTGTTGTTGCAGTTGTAAAGTTTTATCTCGGCATTATGATATGAGATTTGAGATCATGTTATTTTGGGGCCTTCTGGTAGTTGATCATCGGGTTCGTTTATATGAGTTTTCTGCTTTATCTATATTTTCGTATTCTGTTATTATTATTCGTACAAGTTTATTGTGAATGCCTTGTCATAGCCTCGTCACTACTTCGTATAGGTTAGGCTCGGCACTTACAGAGTACATAGAGTCGGTTGTACTCATGCTACACTTCTGCACTTCTTGTGCGGATCCCGGTGTTGGTCCTAGAGGCACGTAGCGGAAACTGCTCGGATCCAACTGCTACAGGAGACTTGAGGTAGAGCTGCTCAATATTCGCAGTCCCTGAAGTCCCCTTCTATCATGTTTTACTGTTTATCTAATTTTAGACAGTTGTACTTTATTTCATACCATATTTGTAGTATTTTAGTTGCTCATGTATTCGTGACTCCAGATTTCTGGGATATGTTTAGACTACACTATTGTATTTGTAACCTCTATTTCAGATTATTTCAGTTTCGTATAGTTAAGGTTATGTTTTTAAATTGCTGAAAATGGTTAATTAACTAGCTAATGTTGGCTTTCCTAGCAAGTGGATGTTAGGCGCCATCACGACCCCACAATTGGGATTTGGATTGTGTCAAGTTGGTCTCAGAGCACTAGGTTGCCTAGGCCTCACGAGTCATGAGCAAGCTTAGTAGAGTCTGGAGGATTGGTACAAAGACTGTCTTTACTTATCTTCTAGAGGCTATAGAGCTTTAGGAAAATTCCGCTTCTTTCCTTCTCTATCGTGGGATTTTATTTCATTAAGTTTGAATAATTCTATTCTTGTTCTCTCACAGATGGTGAGGACACATATACTATCCACAGCGGGCAAGAGCCGGAGCCCCATGTTGCAGCCACTATTAGGGGTAGGGGCCGAGGCAGAGGCAGAGCTCACCCTAGAGAACGTGCAGCAGCACCTATTGAAGAGCCTTAGATCGAGCAGGAGGAGGAGATCCTTGTTCAAATCATGCCAGTTGGACTAGAACAGGTCCCGGAGGGGTTCATAGCCACTCCCGTACTTCAGGACTCCTAGTCCGCTTAGTGGGCCTTAGGGAGAGTGTGGCCCAGTGTCACGACCCCAAATTCCCTTCGTAGGAGGTCGTGATGGCACCTAGTCTCTAAGACTAGGTAAGCCTATAAATGCGGAATAATAATAGATATCTGAAATAAATAAACTACAATTCAAATAATTACAACTCCCAAAAACCGGTAGAAATAAGTCACAAGTTTCTAAGAATTTATTCTCTATGTCTCTATACATCAGAGTCTAAAGCAAATAAGGAAGACAACATAGTAAGATAGAAGGGGACTCCTGAGTCTGCGCACGCTGGCAGATACACCTCGAAGTCTCCTCGTATAGCTAGTTTACTGATGCCCCGTCTGATAAGATATACCTGGATCTGCACAAAAGATGTGCAGAAGCGTAGTATGAGTACACCACAGAGGTACCCAGTAAGTGCCAAGCCTAACCTCGGTAGAGTAGTGACGAGGTCATATCAGGCCCTACTAGAAAATAAATAATGGCATGGTAAAATGTTTAACAATATAATAAGATAAAATGACAATGGAAATGAATCAAGTAGTATGTCACCATTTAATTACACCAA